ATGTTACTCTAGAAAAGCGACTGCTGCCGTCATCTTCATAAGAGCCTCTAAGATCTAGTCCTAGAAGCCCCTCTTGACGCCAAATACTACCGTTCTTTCCTCCTCTGCGATGCAGGGACCTACTATGCTAAGGCGAGGCCAAGCCGGGCATTAAACCTAGGCCACCTGGATACTAGATCACCCGGTATTATCCGTATTAAGGCATATAACTGCAGTAAGGACCTCTTTGGGGTCATGTTTAGTAATTACTAGCTCTTTAGCTTAGGCTATTTCCCTCTCCTTGCCTTTGACGAAGGCATATTGAAAGACCTTGCGGGCATAGACCAAAATCGCCAACGAGCCTTTATGCCTTAGCTTAGCTGCTCCTACCTTTTGCATGCCTAGGATACTAATAAGCGGCATCTGAGGGCTATCTTATCTCTGCGCCGGCACCTAAACTTTGGCATCCGGAAGGAGGTCACATTTCGGCTCGACGTTATTCTCGCTATGTGGGCCGATGGCGTATTGGAACCTAGCAGAAGTCCTTATACCGGGCCGATATCCTAGGACGTTCCCCTCAGTGATCATGGTGATAGTAACGCTAGAGCCAGCGGGATGTATTGCCCCTTTTGGGTTATTCCGACCGAAGTTATGACCTCTTTCGTGTCTACGCAAGCTACTCGCTTGATCCTTCCACTCGACCATATCTTCCAGGAGGTAATAAGGAAAGAAGGCGAGCAGCCATTATCATCCTCCTCCTCCTCTTCGACCGACCATATCCGGCAGATACTTAGGTTCTATACTGCTTAGCTTTTCTGTCGCCTCCTTATCTATGCACTTGACGATGAGGAGGAGGGGCTGAATTTCGATAATTAGATTTGGCGATTAGACTAGACGGCGCGGGCTCGTGGCCGTAGTAGGGGCTCTATTAAGAAGCGGCTAGGTCTCGGTCTAGGCCGCCCCATTAAAGAATCCGGCATACTCTAGATCCCTTATGGCCATATGGATTAGCAGCGGGGCCATATCTCGCTCGAGGTACTAGTCGATCTCTATATGCCTCGGAGCCCACTCTAGGCGAAGCTAGCATACTAGCCCAACGTTTAAGCTCTTACTATTACCTAGGTCACCGTCGAGCTTCTATTTCAACAGTTAGTTCGCGACGCTTGAGGAGCATACAATCAAGGGCATAGTGAGGAAGCCGAGGAGCTAGCTGGCCGGGCTATCGTCCTTACTATCGAGGAGACCGCCCGAGCCTACCATCAACACTTCCTTGCCAAGATCGAGTCGTACTAGGACAAAGTACGAGGTGACTATGGGCGCCAAAACTTACCAGTTCTTACTCGGCTACGGCAAGCCCAGGTAGAATCTACGGCCAAGGCCAGCCGTATTCCCACAGCCCAGACGATTCACGGCATTTACACGGAGGCATAGGCTAAGTACGGTGAAGCTATGCTATTATTATCATCTAATATCGATCCCTTGTCAGGGGATACTTTGCCCGACGAGCTACCTTATTAGATAGCCACGCGTCGGCGCCTACTACCTAAGAATAGCTAATCTGGCTTTCTATTTAGTTAACTATTCGGCCACTCTAAGCCGCCAGCCTAGGATCGACTATATTTCCTCCAAGTCTACCGAGCATTTAAGGACATATGGCAACGTATCTGCGCGTCGGCAGGCCCATTTAATAGCCGCTTTAGCGTATAAATCGGCCGTTATATCCAGATTGCTTTCAATAGTGACCCCACCAAAGAGGTCGGCATAAGCCATGGCCCGGGCACCTAGCATCATGGCAAGCTATCCTTCTTCCGGATCTAGTACTAGGCTCCTTACTTCTCGCCTCCTCGGGGAGATAAAGATACCTTCTTATCGTCTATATATCGCCGCGATGATTACCCCGAGGGTCTATCCCCTGATATAACTCCGATGATTCTATCACCTCGGGACTTTTAGGGCTTTAAAAGGGCAGCCTAGATACGCTAGGTAGAGATTATAGGGGATAATAATATCGAATGTCTACGCTCTACCGGTTATCATAACACTATTCGACGCTATTGCCGGCGGGTATTACTATACGTGACCTATATGGCTGGCCCGTCCTGGGGTAGGGACGGGGATATAAACTTTATATAGCCGTGGTCTCTTAAGAAACTAGACGTTTATAAGCAGCATAATTATAAAGAGGAGGACATTTTCTAGGTCCCTATGAAGGAGACGCATATCTCGAGGCGGATCTTCGAATCTATAGTGAGCCAACCGACTATCCTCCTGCTAACCCGGGATAACCTTATTGGCTTGCTTAACGCCATATAGTCGGTACCTAGTCATTCGCCTAGGTTCGTAGCACGCCTGCGGTGGACGAGGCGTCGGCTTAATAATAGCAATAATTAATATGACCTACGTAGCCACCTAGAGGTTAAGATATAGGAAATAGAGCCCTCCGCACAAAGTCAAACTCTCCTAGAACGGTTCTTAAATTAGGCTGAGCCTCCGCAGTGGGATATTGGCCCTGTAGATGATGATGATGATGATGATATCTCTGGTAATGTAACTGATGATGAAGAGGAGATGGATGATATAACGGAAGAAGATAATGGATCTTAATTGGATGGAAGTAATGACCTTGACTAGGGAGAATAGCGATACCGGAGAGCCATAGTAGCCTAAATAATAAATATGCGACATCTTTAGAAATGCTCTAGGTCATATTTTAACTATTTTTAATCCTAGTAGAAGAAAATTATATCTGTTATTGAGAGGTAATTAGCGTAAAGTAAGGCTTATAACCAATGCTACGTTTAGAACTCTCCTACTTAAGTTAGTCTAGTAACCTTCTCTTTATATTAGGATTAGATAATAATATATCGCTCTTTTAAGATGATAAAGGATACCGCGAACTCTTCGATTATAAGGTTTCGAATCGTAATAATATCTTCTATCTATAGGTCTCGTCTAGAACGATGGATGAAAAGGATGCTCCCTAAGAGACTAATAACTCTAGTAACTCGGTAAATAAACCCATTATCCGTCCTTAATAAAGGTCTATTTACTAATAGTTTAGGTATTATGGCTAAGCGGAAGGCGAGGAGTCGTGGTTTTAATAATATTTATTAAAGGTAAACCGGGTAGGTTTAATAGTAATAATGTAGGTAAACCTAGTCTCCCCTTCGAACTTGTCCAGCGTAAGAGTCCTAAAACCGCATTGGGCCTATAGGTGATGGACCTCTAGACCTCTAAACCTAGGGGTAAGTATCTATGCGCACTGGTCCTCCTAATGAGGCTTTCTATATTTCTCTTTCACCCCTAGGTTTAACTATCCGTGCGTTCTACTCTATTATTATCTTTTTCTTAGAGGTTAAGATATAGTCTAGCGAGTAGACGACCGTGGCGGCGATAATGATAATAATAGCGCGGTATATATGCGGTTAAGCGGTTGATGATTTGAGGATATAGTATAGGTGTAGAACTATCTCGAGTAAGCTATGCATATAATGCCTAGGGTTTTATTTGTAACTCCTACCTAGACAAATATGATCGGGGATATTATTAGATAAATAAAAAAAATATATAAATTATCGCTTAAGTTATATATAAATTAGATAGTAGAGGGGGAATAAAAAGTAAATACTACGAGAAGGTAGGGCAATTAACCCCCCTTTTCCTACTACTTAATTTCCTACTACTTAATATTTCTTCATCTCTATATCTATACTAGTCTAGCTAAATATAAATATTAAAGAATATAATCGAAGAATAATATATTATTCTCATCCTATACCGACCTTTTCCCTCTATAATAGCAGATAATAATATTCACGAGTCTATCCCCGCGTCTATCTTCCTACTACCTTTCCCTAGGAAGGGGAGACTAACAAAGAGACGGCGGCAGAACACGCCGTCTAATACGCAGAGTGACCGATACCTATTCATAGATTAGTCCTTATTACCTTCCCGGCCGCTAAGGCAACAGCAAGGGACCAATTAACCCCGCGAGAGTAGGGATATATTATATCAAGTCCTTATACCGGCCACTAGGACCTAGGATAATGCCCGGCCGGGGATAAGGCTATTCTAGCCTAGCCTCATCCGTGCCGAGGTCGCAAAAGCAACAGAATCCTTCCCACTCGAGCGAGATCAGGGTGCATATATAGCCAAGTACCCGCTGATTTATTGGGTGCGTAACCTCATTCGCGCCCGCGGAGGCCGTGTGCGGTGTACACTTTATGCTTTCTATGAATGGGGCCCGATTGTGGAGACACACAAGCTCAAACGCTGCTCACACCGGACAGAGGCCGAGGAAGTGTAGCCTTAGCTTAAGATATTTCGATATTATTAGGCACGTAGTGGTGGCCCAGGAGCGCGGTGTAGCCATTATCGATTCCCAACGTTGCTATATTAGCGGATAGTATACCGTGAAGAGATAGATCTAAAATATAGCAATGAAAAGGAGGCATAAGAGGAGCACGACGTATAGTATCGTGAGGCGCAATGTGCTTGGGTCAAGACGATGCAGCGGTTTATCACGGCATGCATGGTGGTGCATAGTAGGGTTATAGGTACTAGTGTAAGCCGATTGGGAGGTATGGTGCTGGAGATGATGGGCTAGTAGGACTGGAGCGGGTTGGAGGAGAAGGGGCTAGAGCACATTCGGATGTGGCTGGAGGAGATGGACGAAATTAGGGGTTTGCGATGCCCACGACTCCTAAAGTTATTCTAGTTTCTAGCAGAGGGGGCATATTCTAGGCAATTGGATGATGACTAATTTCCGGGGTATGGGATTTGTTTGTCTTCTTGTTATTATTCCTGTGGTCTATGATAAGATTAATATAAGTTTCCGGGATAGAACTCGGAAAAAGCCTAACTAGAGGGCTATATATATAGCTAAGTTAGTATACAGCTCGATAAATAAATAAAATAAACTAGTAAAGGCCATTGGGGACTATTAGGTCGTTAGAAACGCTCTGAAAGATGAGTAAAATAGATATATTGTAAAGTAATGCTTCGATATATAGGATAATCAATTATCTGAAATATATCGACAGGTATGGCTCGGACTTGATCCTATCATAAAACTGCATAAGCAGGTCATATACTATCTCGGGCACTTCTCGGAGTAGCTCCCTTATACACTCTTCATCTAATAGTTTTCTTTGTATAAATAAAACATTAACAATAGCCTTTCGCATATCTTAGATATCTGCTATAGTAGAGGTATATGCTTCCCGTGCAGCTTCGACTAGATACCTAGACTTCTAGCGCAATCGGACTATAGCCTTAAATTTCTTTAGAGATAGTACTTTAAGAGGTGGTATATCGTATTTCTCTGCGAGCGCGAATACTCTGACGTGAATAATCAGGTGGGAATCGTCCGAGGCAGCGTCGTCCGCATCCGACTCGTCAGCGTCTTCTTTGTACATCACGTCTGCTTCGTCATTTATGCTAGGTGTGGATCGTGGAACTTTATAGTCGGATCGGTAGAAGTATTAAATAACGCAATCGACTAACCGAGGATTATCATCCAGGAAGTTAAAAGATGCCATGGTAGTATCGTCCTTAGTGAAGTTGTTCGGCTTGATCTAGCTTGTGTTTATAGTGTCGAAAGTGCACTTTTTAGATATGACCGGAGACTGGAGACACACGATAGCGCGGTGTGCTTAATAATTCTTTTCAGTCGAGATAAGTGTTATATCCGAGTAGATGCCGGATTTCCATAGCCTGATCAACCGGTAAGAATGCGCTCTGAGAGCAACAACTCGGGCCCTAACTTACGTCTCGAGTAACCCCGTGGTTTTCTCCACGACGGAGTCGCGTTAGTCAGGAGGTGCAGGCATCTTCTGTGGCTCTTGTTGTTTCGCTGGTTGTAGAAAGAGCTCTGGGAAGACGGACTAGGCAGCGATACTTGACTCGAATACGCCTCGCTTCAGTAGATATTATAGGATTTGGACGAGCTTAGAGCGGGGGAGACCAGAGACACTCAGATTGTTGTTCTTAATAACTTCCTCAATCGGTCTCTTCTTGCGTAGGGCGGCGTTCTTATGCTTACTGAAGACTCGCCTACAAGAGGGAGAGCAGTAGACGGATCTCTGATCTGCCTTAGTGGGCTATATATACGGGAGGCAGATAGCTCATGCTACGTTGAGTGCGTAGCAAGAGGCTTGATTCATTGATATATATAGAACTATTTGCCAGATTGGAGCTTGGGCGTGGCACCGTTGACCTGGAGTATATATGTAAGGTAAGAGGGAACCGACCCTAACGCGACTGCGGTTGTGGTTGTCGCGCGGGGCCCGAAGCGAAAACTCAGGCACCAAGGCAGCTTTGCAGCAAAAGTCGTAGGCTGGTGCCTCCTCAGCCCCGCACGCACCCGGTATACCATGATCTCTTCAAACATGCAAAGACATGCCTGGCGTTTTCTGTATCTCTTTTGGCGTGACTAGAATAAATGCCGGGCTACAATACGTGGACTGTCTACTGGTCAGGTGCCATTACATCCGTCGTTGATACCCTATAGTCTTTGAGATCGACTCTATACCCCTACTCGAGGACACCCGCTATGGGTCTCCCCCCATACGTATACTGTGAATTACGAACCTCTGAGTTGGCGAAAGACTGAAAATTTGACCCTAGTTTACGGTATAGAGATGATATGAAGCTGGATGATGTGGAGGTTGGCAGTTATGATGAGGAATGGACGTACGTGGCGTGTGACGAGGACCGTCTTTGTCCATACTGCGACTGGCTGGCACCGCATGTAGACTATATAGTGATTGCAGTCGATGGGGCGTGTGAGGGGAATGGTATGACTAGAGCTAGGGCAGCGGCCGGAGTGTTCGTCGGCAAAATATCCCAGTACAACAAGAGCGTTCTCTTAGCCGAGCCGAACGCAACAAACTAGGTTGCAGAGTTACGGGCTAGGATCCTTGCGCTTCGCCAGGTGATAGATATACAGAGCCAGTGTTTTAGAGAGGAACAGCTTCGGATGGTTGTCATCAAATCCGATTCGGAGTATTTGGTCAAGGGGATAACTGAGCGGGTATTTAAGTGGGAGAATAACGGCTACCGAACATATAAGGGAACGCCGGTGAAGAACTGGGAGCTTTTTAAGAAGTTAGACGGATTAATTAGAAACTTGAATGAGCTTAACGTCGAGGTTTTGTTCTGGCATGTACCTCGGAGTCGGAATATAGAGGCGGATAAATTAGCTAGCAGGGCACTGCGAAGCCAATAGTATATTGCTTTAATTACGATACTGAAATGAGTAAATGTGAGTAGAAGCTTAAGTGAGCGGGATTAATCAATCAATGGCTGGATGATAGCGTGCTAGGTGTCGGAGCTTATATAAAGGCGCTTTGTATAAGATGGTCTCGGAACTTCATGGTTGTTCTGGGCTATAACCTATCTCCAGTCTAGTAAGTAAGTAGTTGGGGGGGAAAGGGCTAAGTCCGGTTCGAATGACATAAATTTGGCCATAATAGACAAACAAGAGTGAGTTCTTATGGAGTTCTATATCGCCGACTTGTTATGGCTTGTCTGCCGCGCCGCCCGAGTTTCCTAGGGAGCGAAAAAGAAGGTTTATGTCTGAGTCCCGCCTCTTCCCCTATGGCCGTCAAGGATTACTACTATTCTGCCGAGTGGTCTTCCTAAACCTACGAGAAACCTCCTCTTTGGTATCTCTCTCTTGCTTTGCCTCCTTTGCTTGTGCCTTTGTAAGGATGTAACCCTGGTGGATTAATTCCCAGGAGGAGATTGCGCCCTCCTCCTCCTCCCCCTCCTCTCGTGGTTGCTCAGGATTTATGGCCAGAAATGCCGGCCACGTAACCTCTTTGAACTCCTCGGCCGTTAGTAAGCTAGGAAGGGTGCTGGATTGCTGTTGATTCTGGCGTCTGCCTTTCTGCTGTGTCGATGACTGTGAAGATAGCGATGAGCTGGACTTTGTGGGGGTTTGGGCGCTTGGTGGCGGTAATGGTTGCTAATCCTCATAAAAGTCGAAGGAGAAGCTAGGCCTAACCCTCTCTTCTAGCTGCTGAACCTTAGACTAACCGCGGCATATCTGGCCAGAGACCTGCTTTAAGCCGGATTTAAACTCCCTTTATCGCGAAGAAGGCACTAGGATGCTTAACATACCCGACACGTGTGTAGCGACCGACTTGACCGCAGCCGCCCGGTTCTTTTCCTGCCTATCGGGGAGCACCTTTAGCAAGGCACTGCGGACATATATCTCCTGAAGAGGGTTCTAGGTGCCGAGGTGACCTAGGACTTCGTCGAGCTCGCCGCCATGCGTGATGTGGGTGGGCCTAAAGATATGCTCGGCAAGTGCTTCACCAAAGATGATAAGGCCGGCGACGACTCTTATCTGCTTGGCAGCTAGCGAGTTGGAAGCCGGTAGTGGGACTCGCTACTTGCTTAATACCTATACCCGGAGCTCCTTCCAGCGGGAGTAGTCGGCAAAACAAGCATTATCGAGGTTACTGCATAAGAAAGTCTCCATATGTTTGAGAGCAAGGTCGAAGAAATTAGCCAATAAGGTCCGGCTGCATTGTGATATCAATCATTAGACCTAGATCATAACGAAATAGAAGGAGGGAATTAGCCGTTAGCATATACATCTCAGTCTCTTTCTCTTTAAGATTCTCTAGTTCAACGACAAAGGAGCAAATCACTTTAAAATTATCCTAAACCTAGCCTAATTCCATAGTCTTAGACTTTAGCTGCTTTTATATAGATTTTAGTTCCCCTTCAAGTCTTTCTTTCGCTTTCTAGGCATTCTCTAAGTCAGCCGCTCTCGCCTTCTCTTTATTATCTAGATCGATAGCCCGGGACTCCTAAGTTTTAGATATCTCCGTCACCGTTTTCATATCCTCCTCTATATTTCGAACTTAATCCCTAAGCGCCTGCGAGGCTTGTCTTTCGTCTTTCAGCTGCTTTATAGCATCATCTCTAGCGCGGTTGACCTCTTTCAGTTTGTTATACTCGGATTGCTATTTACTATCTGACCTTGTGAGTGCTTTGATATTCTGCTCGTAAGTAGTTTGGAGCTCATTGAGATTCTTCTTAAGGCTTATGTTCTCTTGGCACATTCCTTTGAGGCGTTTAAACTCGTCACCGGCATAGTACTCTTCGACAAACGAGAAGAAGCTATCAATAGGGTCCTCCGAACCTTTAGGGGGAGGCGATATATTGTTGGGTTTCGGTGGTGATTTATCGGCTACTAACGGCATAGATATAGATATTGGGGGCTTTTTCGTTGTCATTATATCGTATAGTATAAAGTGTCGATGGAAGTCGCGAATATTAAGAGTAAGGGGATGAATTAAATTAGTAAATAAGGGGGAGGGTTTCAGGCAGCAAAAAAGGCGACCGCGTAATAATTTATACATTCAAGTACGCCTGCTAACTAGCTATGCATAAGTGGGTTCATATCGTATGTATAATTATCTATATTCTGCAAAATGGTTAGTCAGATGGACAGTTCGCAGCCTTATTTCACGGAGCGTATTGGTGTAGCCCGAAGTTAAGAAGACAAACCGGGGGTTAAGCATCAGAGAGGGTAGATGGGGATTTACGCTGGTTGGCTATGGCAGGTTAGGATAATAGTGCAGGGGGGGTTAAGAAAAACTAACTAGGCGCTCGTCAGTGCGCGAGATTTTATCTTCTAGGCGCATCATTATATAGCTTATGGGGTGGATTTTTAGAGGCGGAATTTAGAAGAAATATTAATTAATTCGCCTATGGAAAAGGTAATATGGTCGATAAATAAGTAGCCCTATGAATACGCTATGCTAACCGGACCTAGAAAACGGGTATCTATGTGCAGGGTAGGCGGGCTAGTCTGGCGATAACGGCGGCTAATTGCCCAGCGGATTGAACTTTTAAGCCTTATATTTCCTCCTACAGTTCTATTCTATAATGCTAGGAGAATTCGCGCCCTAGGGGACTCTGCCTCTATGTAATAATCCATTACTCTTATATAGGGCGGGTGGGGTGAGAATTAATAATTTTGGATACCGCGCCTGAAACCTTCTTTCTTAAGTTATTCTATTAGCCTGTTCTCTATATCGGGGTTAGATGCATCCTCCTTCAACATAAACGGCACCGCAAATTCTTCGATTAAGTTATAGAGCGCGTTAACGTCTTTAATCTGCAGATCCCGCTTAGACCTGCGGACGAAAAGGGTGCTGCTAAGACATAGATGACGCCGGTAACTTAGCAAACGAACCTATTCCCCGTTCTTAATAGATGTTGTCGTCAGGAGGAGCTCGGCTAGAGGGTTCTTTAGGTTATTAGACGGCGGGCCGTTGTCCTCTTTGCAAAGGCCACTATTATATGCCTTTGCAATTAGTTCTAGGCCAAAGAGTAAAGGGATGTCGCATGGATCGTCGCCCTCGAGGTTGAACAGAGGGTGCGTCTTGGGCATAGCCACCTCGACCATCTGTGGCTCGTGCCGAGTGGCCTGGTCACGGCGGCAGTTGATTCGGACACCAATGACCTTTGAGGACCTGTCGGCCAGTACGCGCTTGGATAGATGGTCGTGTTGACCAGGTTCGTCGATTATGCTGCCGATCGTATCTCTGTAGTAACCTAGGTAGTCGATGGCATTACGGTAGGCAGTGAGGGTGATATCGGTGGAATGGCGTGGTTCAAAGTCGGTGCCCGCTCTCATGACTGTAATAACTGGGCCTTTCTAGATGAACTCGCCCTAAGTATCGCCTACTAGGGTTAGGATTGTACTATGGATGGCTTGATTGGTTATGATGTTGCGGGGAGGGACGTCTGGATCCAGGAACCATATGTGTAGGGTGTCCTGGTTGTTTTCTCTCCCACGAAGGACATTGCGCCTGACTTGGCGTAGGCCATGACCGATGTAGTTATTGCCGGGGATGTGCAAGAGGTGGTTGAGAACTGGGTGGAAGTAGTCCCTAACCTCGTATTCGTCCTTTTTGGAATCCACCTAGACGAGGGACGGCCGCTTCTTAGTTATGGGAAAGAGAATGGCGAGGTAGTGGTTGGGGGAAGGGCGAGTGGCAAAGTTATGTTGAGCATATGCGGCGAACTTGCGGCAAAGAAGCCGATGGGTTCGCCAGTCGGTTTGCTGATACTCTAGAGAGCAGTAGGCGGCTGAAAGGCAAACGGCATAGCGGCGAGTATTAGGGGAAGCGCAGATTGTGCAAAGAACGGGAGGAACTATTTTGGACGAAAGAGACGGTCGATTAAGGCCGTTAGTATAGGTCGGGAAAAGGCAGAAGTTTGTTTGGTGAGAGGGTTGGGTGGATGTTAGTTTACTTATGTGAGGTTGGATTTTCAGGGGGTTAGTGGGCGGTGGCTTGAACTTACCGGGATTTCCGTTGGCAGGAAGGGGGGATTGAAACGGAATCAAATGCGGGCGGCAGCTAGAGCTGGAGTTAGTAATTCCCCCCCACTAATATGCCGTGTTCTGGTAAGAAGAGCCGAAACATGAGATGCGATGATGGCCGAATTCTATCGCTAATCCTTAATGATGGTATATGAATTGAATGATTGGCGATAAATGGCCGGTCGTGGTAAGCGTAGCCAGTAGTCGAGACCGGGGGATTGATGAGCTGGTGGAAATTTTAGAGTGCTGGTGGATTTAGTGACGGCAGGGGGTTGGGGAGCAGGGGGTAAGAATAGGGGTTTGGCGGGAGATAAAGCTGGAGTGGCCCCCTAGATTTTAGGGGCAGTAATTTCTCTACTTTCAAAGTACGTAGCGCTGAATTGGGGCGACGATAGGCGACGATAGGCGACGACCAATGACCAATAACCGGCTCCGACGATAGACGACGAACAATCAATATATCCGATGATAACGATAACGATAGCTCTGACGACGATTTAATCGATTTGATAGCGATGAATAAATAAATAAATGAATGAATTTAGAAGGAAGGTGCCGATACTGCAGAATCTAAGTAGATGAGCGAGAGGGGGAGAGAGTGGGAAAGAAGTCTGTTTTGGGACTCTTTTTATAGGGTGACTGGAAATGTCATGTGGGTCGCCGTCTGGTCGTTTCTTTGCTTTATCTGCCGATAGCTTCCGGGTTGGTCCCTCTTAGCCTTTCTTTCTCTCCTTATCTGCTGGGTCTACTTTCTGGCTCTCTGTGTTGGTTTCTTCCATTACTGGCTAGTTTAGTGGGCTGGCTAGGTGGGGAGGTTTTCTGGTCCTACGTCTGTGTCGGCTCGTTGGGTCTTTCTCTTTATATGTTTCCTTTGGCTCTCGAAGCTAGTGGTGGGACGAAAGGGAGAGGTGTTAGGGCTGGGTACGTTATGGAGGCGAGTTAGAAGGGTAGGAGTTAGGTTAAGAAGGGTATGGAGGGTTAGGCTTTTTAAGGTAACCGAGTAGTTACTATCACGGTTTCCGGTTACGGTTTCCGGTTCCAGGTTCTGGATAGAGTTTTCAGGCTACTATTTCTGGTTCCTGGGTCTGGATAGAGTTTTCCGGTTCCTGGTTCCGGATAGAGTTTGCCGGTTTCTGGTTCTTGGCTCCGGTTAGAGTTTCCCGGCTATGGTTTCTGGTTGGTGGTTGGTAGTGGTTGTTTTCCGGTTGCCGTTTCTGGTTCTTAGTTCCTGGTTCCTGGTTCCTAGTTTCCGGTTAAGTTTTTTGCTTGGCACGGTTTGCTGCCTGGTCGGTTTTTGTTTTGTCCTGGCGCGTTTGTAGGGGGGTTCCCAGGGCCTAGGTGGCGGTTAAGGGTTTGGTTGGTTGGTTTCTTGGACTTGCCCTAAGCCAACCCTTGACGGTTACCCCGTAACCCTAAGCCAACCCTTGGCCGTTACCCGTAACCCTAACCCGAACCTAAACCTAAGGTTTTCGTTTGACTTGGGAAGTTGAGAGGGTTGCGGGTGGTTGTGAGGGTTGGTTTGAGGGGACCAAGGTGTTGTTTACTGGTAACCCTAACCCTGAGGTGAGGGTTGGGAAGGACTAACCTCTGACGTCCGGGGAGGGTGACGCGGAGCGTTGTTGGAGGTAGAAGGGGTAGAAAAGGGAGGTGGTGGTGGAGGTGCTGGCAGGACACAGTGTGAACACAGTCCTAACCCTAACCCTCGCACTGTCCCCCAGGGTGGGGTTAGAACAGAGTAACTATTAACTATCTAAGCTATTTTGCCCTAGGGGTTTCTTCTAGCTAAGATATAGCTTATAGATAAAAGAGGGGAGATTTTTCTAAGAAATAATAAAAGAAAAAGCATAAGAGATATAACTAGGAAAGAGGTATAGCTAAGAGAGAGATATAGCTAGGAAAAAGAGATATAACTAAAAGAGAGAGGTATAGCTAGGAAATAGAGATATAACTAAAAGAGAGAAGTATAGCTAGGAAATAGAGATATAACTAAAAGAGAGAGGTATAGCTAATAAGAAAAAGGCAAAGAGATAAGAGATAAGAGATAAAAGGTAAAGGATAAAGAAAAGCCTTAAGAAGCCCTAGGGGTATTCCAGATCGACCTAGCTAGGTTACTAGGGGTATCTCGGGCTATAGAAGCCGCAGAGGTCGCCCTAGTCCTCATCAGGGCAAGGCTAATAGAGGAATCTAGCTGGTTAGCCGCAAGGGGGCCAATAAGGTCCTGGAGCTTCTGATAGGTCTTAGCTGTCTCTAGGTCCATAAGGCCGCCTGCTGAGATAATAAGAGGCTGAAAAAAGGCCCCGAGAGACCTATATTTTCTGCGTTTTTCTTCGGCAGCCTCTCTTAAGGTGCTATAAGGGTCTTCTTTAGCAGAATCCTTTGAAATAGCTACGATTTGAATATCATAGTAATAGCAGCTATTTCCTAGGTTAACTACAAAGTCGGCCCTTAGGCTACCTTCTGGGTGGACTAGGGGTTCTTTTTCGACCTCTAGGGTAGGCTGGCTACTTAGGGCTCTCACAAAGGCCCTAGTTATAGCGTCATGCCTTGCAATCCACCTTCTATTAGCACCCTTGCAGGTATCCTGATGGCCTAAGGCAGCTATAGCTCCACAAGAGCTACAGGGTAAGCTGATAGGCTTGATTGGGTAGAAAAGCCGGCTTCGGAGGGCTTCAGTGACCTCAGAGTCTGTAAAAGATAGGGCTTTTTGGGTAGGTAAGACTCCGAGCCACTTACGGCCGAGATAGCTAGCATTTTCTAGCCTAGCATGCCTATAGCTAGCGGGGAGGTCCTCTAAGAAGCCTGCTAGCCTAGCCTTATTAGCTTCCTTTAGCACCTGTTGGGCTGTTTTCCCTAGTCTAGGCTGGCCTTGGTTAGGCTGGCTTTGGTCTAGGGTAGGCTGGGCTAGGGGCTTCCGGATGAGGCCTAGGGTAGGCTGCGAGGCCTCCCTAGCTGCTAGGAATAGCTCGTGGGCTAGGTCCTTGTGTAAGGGTATTCCTAGGCCTCCCTCTCTGACTGGAAGGGCTATAAGGCTTGAATTAGGCTCTTTAGGGCTCTCACTAGGGCTTCTAGCCACTAGGGCTATAATAGCCTCTCTTATAAGGGTATTAGCCTCTTCCCAAAGGTCTTTTAGCCCGGTTGGGTCTAGCTGCCTCTGGAGGTGCCTTAGAAGAAGCTGGATACTGCCTCTAAGAAGAAGCAAAGAGTGCTGCTTTGGAAGGTCTTGCAGGGCCTCTAGGGCTTCCTGTAGGGTAGCTAGCTTTTCTTGCAAGAAGGTTCTTTTAGGCCGGATAGGGCCGATATAAGTACCTAAGGCTTTTAAGCCTTCTAGCTTAAGGTCCTCTATAGCCTTTTCCTTGCTTTTAGCTAGGTTAAGGCTAAAAGGGGAGCCTTTTAAGACCTCCTTAGCTGCCTCTAAGGTGCCTTGCGGAGCCTTATTAAGTATATAGAGGTCATCTAGGTAAGCTACTAAGGTTGCCCTAGGTAGCTTCCTAGCTAGGGCCTCTAGGGTAGGTCGAAAGGCAAGGGAAAAAAGAAGAGGTCCGAGAGGGTCACCTTGCCTTACGCCCTTGGCCGAGGCTATAGCTGACCCATCTTCCATAACTAAGATAGAAGGGTCATTATAGGCCCAAGCTGCTGCCTTATAGAAGGTAGGGGCAAAAGTAGCTACAGAAGCAGCTATAGAAGCCCTATCTACTGAGTTAAAGGCATTAGCAAGGTCTATAGAGGCTAGCTGCTGAAAATTAGCCTCATTTAAGCCTATAATAGCCTCATAGAGGAGGAAAATAGCGGGTTCAACCCCGCCTGGGCTATTCACGCCTAGCTGGAAGGGTAAGAGCATATTCGGCCGATAGGAGGTCATTAGGATCGCCTTCATAGCTACCCTATAGATAAGATCTCCTATAGCTATAGGTCTAACCCCTCCATCGGGCTTTTCAAGCCCTATAAGGCGGCTAGCGCATAATAGGTGGGCTCCAGGGGCCGTGCCTTGGCGAATCATATCAGCTAGCAGCCTTAGGAAAGCTATCACAGGGGAATCTTTCCTAGTTACTAGGTCTAGAAGAGGCCTAGTCCAGCCACTAAGGCCCGGGGCCTTTTCCTTGCCTATAGAGGCTATAGCTGCTATAATAGTCTCTGACGTGATTGGTTGGCCGGCCCTTGGGCGGGTCTTGCCTTGGAAGGGGTCTTTTGATCCAATAGGGTGCTTTTCTAGCAGCCTAGCCCTATTTTCTACTGAATTAGGTGCTATAGGGGTCGGATCAATAAGAGCCCTAGCAGCCCGGCCTAGGTAGCCTCTCTCTAGTAGCTTAGCTGCCCTTTGGGCCGGGCTAGGAGCTATAGAGGGTCTAGCTGCCTTGGGGGGCTCAGGGGGCTGCTGGAGGGACTCTAGGCTCTCTAGGGTAGGTAGGTTAGAAGGGAAAGACCTAAGAAGGGTAGCTAGGCCTCCTTTTTGTAACCCTAACCCTAGTAGCCTAGGCAAGATAAGGAAATATAAGAGGGCCTTTTCAGTAGGCCTCTTTAGAAAGGCAGCTGCAGCTTTATGGGCTGTAGCTGTGAAAATAGCAGCCTGCCTTGCATGTAGCCTTTTTTCCGGTATAGGGATCCTTGCAAAGGCTAATAGCTTCTGCATAGAAGCCTTGGCTAGGATTGGGGCTATAGCTTGGTTGTGTAGCTGCTCTAGGGTAGGCCCCTCTAGGGTAGGCTCCTTGGGCTCGGGCTCTAGGGTAAGCTCCCTAGGCTCGGGCTCTAAGGTAAGCTCCCTGGGCTCCCTAGGCTCCCTAGTCTCTAGCTCTAGGGTAGGCTCCTCTAGGGGCCCTAGAGGCTCTAGGGTATATTCTTCTAGAGGCTCTAGGGTAGGTCCCTGACTAGAGGGCCTGTGGCTAGGCGTGCTAGGGCAAGAGGAGCTAGAGCTAAGGGACCTAGGGCTAGAGGGTCTTCCCCTTTCCTCATAGCTAGAAAAAGACCTATAGCTTTCCCTTGAGGCCGGTCGGTCTAGGGTAGGCTCCTCTAGGGTAGAGTTAGGCTGTAGCTGCCTTTGCCGCCTAGTAGGTCTTTGTAGCTGTGGAGAAGGGGTCCTTGCTAGTCTCTTTCTTCCTATAAGGCCTCTATAGCTAACTAAGCCCGGGCTAGCCTGATTAGGACTAGTGGGGCTAAGGGAAGAAGCTAAAGAGGCCCTAGAGGTATTAGTGGCCCTAGTAGCTATATAGGTCCTTGGCCTAGGTAAGGTAGAAATATGGGCTTTACCTTCTATGCCGTGGATCTTAGCACTATGGGTCTTGATGCCGTGACTTCCGCGGCAGGCTGTGCCGCAATAAGGGCAGCTGACTAAGCCAAGGGGCTGTAGCTGTTGGTTGGTATAGGCCTCGGCCGGGTGTTTTTTGCGTATATGCTCTAGGGTATCTCTATAGCTGCCTTGGCAGGTAGGGCATACCTGCGAGGGCATTTTACTATAGGGTAGCTAGAGGTATAGGGTAGGTATAGGGTAGCCGAGGTATAGGGTAGGTATAAGGTAACTAGAGGTATAAGGTAGCTATAAGAAAGAAGATAATAAAGAGAAAATAGCTATAAGGTAGCTAAGATAAGGCTTAGAAACTAAGCATAAGGGTAAGAGTTAAGGTTATAAGAAGCTTAGAGAATAAGGTCTTTAGAGATACTTATATAACCCTAGGGTTATTCTAGAAGCTTCTACCTTAACCTAAGTCTAACCCTAAGCCTAACCCAAAGCCTGACCCTAACCCTGACCCAATGTGTGACCCTAACCCCTATAGAAGGCTCTAGAATCTCTATAGAAGCCCGAAGGGCTTCTATCTATAGCTGACCCAAAGCCTGACCCTAACCCTGACCCAATGCCTGACCCTAACCATGACCCTAACCTCTATAGAAGACCTTAGAATCTCTATAGAAGCCCGAAGGGCTTCTATCTATAGCTGACCCAAAGCCTGACCCTAACCCTGACCCAATGCCTGACCCTAACCATGACCCTAACCTCTATAGAAGACCTTAGAATCTCTATAGAAGCCCGAAGGGCTTCTATCTATAGCTGACCCAATGCCTGACCCTAACCTCTAGAACCTCTAACGGAACCTCTAAAGGAACCTAACCGGGAGGCCAGTGGTAGTTTGGGCCAAACTACCATCTGGGGTTAGGGGCACGGACCAATGAACATGCAGGGATGCACGCGGGGGTGGGTCCCGGACGCGGACAGGGGGGCCAAACTACCAGTGCCAAACTACCATTTCATACTGCAGCCAATCAGGGTGAGGGACGGGCAAGTTCAGGGTTAAGGAAAAAGCAAAGAGAGGAGGGAAATCTAACAGAACGCGTCTCGGGAGGCCAGCCTTTGTCACGACTGGGTGAGTAAGTAAGCTCAATCTCATCATCATCATCATCATCATCATCATATGGCGCGTCTATGATATACACCTAACTGCAATAATAATATATGCCAGGTGGAGGCGCAAGTGATGACGATAGAGAGCAGATTCCAGCAGCCACTATTCATTCGAGAGAGCCTCAGTGAAAGCAGCCACCCACCATGATGGTCCGGGCGCGTCCAACAGACTCCCCCGGCAGCAACGGGCCAGAGCACCAGGGAGACACAAGAGAGTCCGCCAGTCATGATCATGATCATGATCATGATCATCATCATCATGCAGAAGGCACCGAACTGGGCGAAGAGTGGCTTATATATAACGGCGAGTACCAGTCATTGATCTGCGTCTTCCATGGCTATGCGGTCCGCAACCTCGAGGGTCACTTGAGGGACCGTCACCCAGACATCAACCATCGGGCCCGCAGCGATCTCGTCCGCCGCCACAAGGGTCTACAGCTGCAGGGACCGGCATCGGAGCAGCTCGTCCAGCACGGTGCGTTAAACCCGACCCGGGCCGTCAAGGGTCTTACTGTTCACCGGGGCTTCGCCTGCACCTGGCCGGGCTGTAGGCACCTCACGCCGAGCTGGAAGTGCCTACGGGTCCACTTCAACGACGAGCACGACATGAAGGGAGCCAGGGCGCGGGCGGACCTCTGGACTAGCGTCTATCTGCAGACCTTCTTTACAGGACCAAAGAGGGCGATTTACTACTTCTGCGTTGGCGTCTCTATCGGCGGCAGCGATGCTGTCTCGGCAGCAGGAGATCCTCTGACGCCGGTGGGCAGGGGGAGAAGAGCGACGATGGCCGATAGGCAGCAGACGCACCCAGAAGATCAGATGATGATCGCCGATATTACCTAAGGGTGGTCACTGCAGCAGGAGGAGCAGGAGAAGATGCAGAAGGTCATGGAGGAAGGGATCCTGAGGCACGAGACGACGAACTGGCTGAAGAGGACCGGCTGGTCAGCCCATTTCGCCGGGAGGAATCTGGTGGATATCTAAGCCTGCAGCAGGATGGCCGGCCGTGACGACGACGAGCTGCGACGGATGGCCACGGCTCTAGATCGCCTATTCTTCGACCGCTGCATCGGCGGGTTAAAGAGCATGCCCCTGATGACCCGCCTGCTCCTAGCCAGCCCCCACCCTCACGATGCGCATAGCCGACCGTTTGGGCCGCTGCAGGAGAAGACCAGCATGGATCGCTACCTGGTATATGTGAAGCGGTTCTTATGCTATTGCCTCAATGTGCTCTCGCTGGAGGAGGATGCGCTGTTTGCCGAACACGGCTTTCGCTTCACGCATGCACAGAGGGCCAGCCTCGAGCTGCTCTGGGCGCATCTGCAGGACGAGGAACAGTCGGGCGAGGGGCTGCAGGAAGAGATATTGCAGATTCTGGCGGACTTCTGGATGCAGCGGCTCGACGGGGACCCTTTTGCGAGCCCGCTGTGGCACTTCGTCGGGGTGCTGGGAATCGACGGCGAGACGGGGCAGCTCCGACCTGCCCACCTATTCACCTACGTGCTTGCGGGACTCGTCTTCACGGGGCGGGCGCTGCTGGGAGAGTGGGCCATACCCACCCGGGAGCGGGCCGGGATGACGGACCTCGCGCAACGGTTCGCCTAGGTTCGAGACGCCTGGCTTTGCAAGGCGACATACTCTCCCATGGGCTATACGCTTAGCTTGCTGTTATACGGAAGGAAGATCGCGCAGGAGACTAGTAGCCGGCTGATGGTGTCCTGGAGCAAGGACGGCGAGATAATGTACTTCATGGGCAAGCCGATCCTGATGGAGAAGATTCGTCACATGGTGGCTAGGATGACGAAAGACGCCGAGGACCTGCTGTGGGGTCAGTTGATGTTCAAGGAGGGCGACGACGAGCGTTTCATCCTTCCTCTGGACGGCATTGAGGATGATCTCACCCATACAAGACGAGGCCGGTCCTTTATCCATACCAACGACCTCGCTGGCAAGGAGGTCGAGATGCTCGAGGACCTCGTCATGGGCTCGCGGAAGACAGAGTTCCTAGATCGAGCGGGCGAGTGGAAGTGGGCGGGCATCAGGAAGTACCTGAAGCTGGTGAAGAAGTTCGAGGAGTTTCTGCTGCTCCTCTCCCATATCACCGGCGGCCAGCCCAGCCGAGGGGAAGAGATCACGGGCCTGCGCCTGGTCAACGGCATCAACAGGGACCGCAACGTCTTTGTCATCGACGGCGATGTTGTGCTCGTCACCTAGTACCATAAGTCTCTGGCCCACTTCGACTCGCCGAAGGTGATCCCCCGCTTCCTGCCGGAGAGGATCGGGCAGCTGCTCGTGATGTACATGGTCTACATCCGACCGCTGATGGATCGCTGGGAGGCGGATAGATGGGAGCTATATGGCAAGATGGCACCGCCGAGCGACTTTATCTGGCATAACGAGACGGGGCCATGGGAGAGCAGTCGTATGTCTGGGGCCATGGGGAAGTGGACCTCCCACTATATCGGCCGCAGGATCACGCTCTAAGACTGGCGCCATATCGCCATCGCCATCAGCAAGAAGCACGCTCGCGACCGGGGGGCCGCTCGGGCAGACTTTGAGGACGGCGACGACGATGACGAGTCGGAGCAGTACGAGGCGCCGGACGATCTGGCTGCCTGTCACACCGGCCAGACAGCCGCCAACTACGGTGTCACGATCGATGTGCTGAAGCGCTTGACGGCCGAGTCTCTGGACATATTCGGGCAGGTGAGCCGTCGTTGGCACAAGTTCCTCGGCTGCGACGCGCAGCAGCAATCGGCCTTGGAGCCGCCGCCGTCAACTTCGTCCTCGAAGCGCAAGGGTGCGGCCGAGTCTGGCGGCGAGGAGAAGAAGTGCCACCCTCCCCGGAAGCGGGCCAAGATCGCCTCGCTCGAGACGCTAAGGGCAGGTATGACAGCAGCAGTGGGGGACAAGAAGAAGGACGACATGATCCTGCGGGCACTCCGGGCTGTCCTGCGTGATGACGCTGCCTAGTTTCGGTCACCCCAGCAAGAAGAGGCCGTCAGGTTGGCCGCGGCGAAGCAGAGCCCGCTGGTTGCCGTGCTGCCAACGGGCGGCGGGAAGAGCTTAGTCTTCATGGTCCCGGCTATGCTGGCAGGTGCAGGCGTGACCATCGTGGTGGCTCCGTTCGCCGAGTTGAAGAGGCAGCTGGTCACACGCTGCGTCGATGCCGGCCTAGACTGCAAGTCCTGGCCCGAGGCGCGTGAATCTTGGCCTAGGGTTACGCTGGTCTCGGCCGAGGCGGCTGTTACCGATGACTTCCTGCAGTGGGCCGCTGATCTGAGTGTCAGGGGAAGGCTAGACCGAGTGGTCATTGACGAGTGCCATCTGTCATTCACTGCCGCCGAAACCTACCGCGCGAAGCTCCGGTGCCTCGTTCTCCTGCGGAGCTTGGGGTGTCCCTTCGTATTCCTCACTGGGACCCTGCCGCCGCTCCGTCAACGCGACTTGGAAGAAGCCATGCAGCTCCAGGCTCCGCTCTACATACGGGCTTCGAGCCATCGGCTGAACGTGCGGTACTCCGTCCTTCGCGTCCGTAACGGACGGGGCGTCATGGAGGTGAAGAGGCTGGTGGACGCCCGGCTCCCACGTCTAGCACCGGGGGAGAAGGGGGTCATATACTGCACTAGCCACGCGAAGTGTAGAGCGCTTGCCCGGCAGCTTGGTTGCCATTACTATCACGCTCAGCGCGATGATAGCGATGCGCAGTTCCTTGCCCAGCGCGAGCAGGGCTTCCAGGCATGGGTCAACGGCGAAATACCCTACATCGTGGCTACCGCGGCTCTAGGCACGGGCCTTGATGTTGCAGGCATCGTCCATGTCATCCATCTCGAGGCCCCATTTAGTATTATCGACTACGCCTAGGAGGCGGGGCGGGGCGGGCGAGCTGGGGAGCCCGTCACCGCAGAGATAGTCGTCGAGGAGAAGGACTGGCCGGTTGAGGACCATATCCGCGATAGCTACCTAGACTTGAGCACGCGCGAGGTACACAGGCTAATCCGGACATAAGGTTGCCGTCGCCGCCTCCTGGGCTAATGCTTGGACGGTGACCTACGGGACTATGGAGATATCGATGCCGTCCGATGCGATAATTGCCGCCGCGATGAGCTGTTATGGAAGAGTGAGTTATCCTCGCAGGGTATTATAGTATCACATGCCCGCGGCAGGCGCGATGCCCTCGCTCTAGAACGTTTCGAGGCCGCCTTGGAGGAGATAGAGGAGCTTGGCAAGATGGGCTGCCGCATCTGCTGGATGTTCGATGGCGTCAAGGAGGCCGGGCACCAGTGGGGTACCTGTGGTGCCACAGCAGAGAAGGATCTGTCCTTCTCCAGCTGCATGAACTTTCAGGGTCTGGTCAACTACAAGAAGGATCCACAGGCACGTTTCTTGAGCTGCTTCTACTGTCACGTATCGCAGGAGCTCTGTCGGGACGGTTACGAGACCAAAGGAGCATCATATCGGTGGAAGCATGCTGTAGTCCCTGTGGCGTTGGCCGCCGTGACGGAGGCAGATATATGGTCGCAAGTCTAGGAGGCTGCCGGTCGAGACTTCAAAGGTCGGGATGACTATGCTGACTGGCTGGGCCGTAAGCACAGTAAGTTGGTATGCGGGCGAGAGATGACCAATGCCATGGCCGTCTTTGATCTAGTGCTTAAGTGGAGAAAAACTTAAGGGCTTAGTTAATTACTATGTTTTACGCATAGTGTAATACGTTTGACTAGTTATATATAATGATATATGATATGATATGATGGGCAATGATAGGGGGGGAAAGGAGTGTGTGTGTGTGAGAGAGAGAGGGAAGGGGGGGAGCTCCCACAGCAGGTATATTACCCACACAATACTTAACGGTAAATATATATACGAATAGGACTTAGTGATAATAGCTGGCTTTAGCTATATGATTAGAATGCTCATAGGATATAGTATAAATAATATAAGAGGAGGTAGAAATAAAAGAAGTAGAAGAAAGACGAAAAAGAGAAAGAGATGGTAGTCTAGGGTAGGCAAAAGTAATATCATTATAATCAGCAAAAAAAGCTCTTTGAGGCTGGGCTGGCTAGACGCTTCCGAGACTCGAACCCGGGTCTGTCCCTTAGTCAGAGGGATCGCTCTGACCACTAAGCTGAAGCGCCTTTTCGCTCTCAAAGTTACCAAGGTCGAGATGGGGCTGGCACATGAGGGTATCACGAAGACCACGGCAAGGTGACCAGGTGAACGCGGCATAGCAGGCAGCCATAATGGCAATTGCTGAGGGGAGAATAGGACAAAGGGAGGGTAATATAAAAAAAAAGGTTAGTTATTATTAGTAAAATAGTATTAGATGTTTAAATAAAGGAAAGAAAAAAAAAAAAAAAAAAAAAAAGATGAAAAATCTGAATAATAAAATAATGAAAAAAAAAAATCTTCTTAAGATAACCCTAGGGTAATAGAAGATATATATATATATAACCCTAACCCTAAGGTAAGAAAAAAAAAAGGGGGAAGTATATAGCCCTAGCCGGAGAATAAAAGGAAAGAAAAAGAAGGAAGAGCGTATAACCCTAACGCTAGGGTTAAAAATAAGAGAAATTAAGGAAAAGTATATAACCCTAACCCTTAGTTTTCCTTTAAGCTAGGAAGTAAAGAGGAAAGTAAGTAATTAGAAAAGTTAGCTTTAAGGGTTAGTTAGGAAAGGAAAAAAAAAAAAAAAAAAAAAAAAAAACCCAACTTGGGCCTAACCCTAAGGTAGCCCCTAGGAAGTATTGGCTGAAAGAGACTAGAGGGAGTTTTTAGCCCTAACCCTAACCCTAACCCTAAAGCAAAACGTTAAATTTTCGTTTGATCGGGGAAGGTAAGAGCCTAGCGGGTGCTTCAGAGGGTTAGACCAAAGAGAGACAAGGACTGCTTAGCCGTTACCCCAAGCCTGGCCCTAGCCTTAATCCTAAGTCTAACCCTAGCCCTAACCCTATCACCTATGTCGGCTTAGGGTTAGGGGGAAAAAGAGAGTTAGGGTTAGGACGGGTAAGGAGGTTAGTGTTGTAAAGGCCCTGACGTCTAGCACAAGTGGGAAAAGAAATAAAGAGAGGGTGCGAGAAGGTACGAGGTAAAGGAGTTAGAGAAGCAAGACTAACCGCCACTGTCCAGGGAGAGATAAGCTCTAGGGTAAGGAGCTAGGAAAAGAGAAGAAGGAAATAAGGAGAGGGTATCGCGAAGGGGCGGGTAGTTAGGTACAGTGTGAGACTTAGGGTTAGGGTTAGGGTTAGGGTTAGGGTTAGGGTTAGGGTTAGGGTTAGGGTTAGGGTTAGGGTTAGGGTTAGGGTTAGGGTTAGGGTTAGGGTTAGGGTTAGGGTTAGGGTTAGGGTTAGGGTTAGGGTTAGGGTTAGGGTTAGGGTTAGGGTTAGGGTTAGGGT